GAAGGTCATAATACGGATGCGTTCGGCAAAATTCTATTAAATGTATTATACATAGTGATTCACCAAGCATACTCAGTTTCTCACCCCTTCCAATTATTAAACCATTATTATTGGAATTAAACAAATTCTGATTTATAACATTTTTAAATATTGGTTCTCGAGGATCCTAGTTTCAAAAGTAGTATACCTAAGAGTATACCAACACACTTTTTTTAAACATTTTAAATGTGAATTGTTAAATAAATTCACTTTTTAAATTGTTTATGTTTCTTAATCAAAATTAGGATGAGTCATTTTTGAGTCCCTGTGTTTTAAGAATAATAGTACTAATATAGGTTTTACACTCAGACAAATCTCGAAAATTATAAAATGTTAATAGATTGATATTAATTAAATATAATTTTCAAATCATCATAGCTCTCTTACCTTCCAACCGTCTTATCATGAACCTATTATTCTTAGTATCTACACAAACATGAATAACTCAGAAACTACTAGTTCAAATTTTCATGTGGATATGTAGATAGATCAATATTTTCACAAAATATTTTTCTTTACAATTCAGATTAAAAAATAATGTTATCGTTTGAAAAAATAAATAAATTTGTATCGTCCCATTATGACACAACTTTTAAATCACACACGAATTAAAACTATTTTTAAAAAAGATGGTGCCTAATTAAAAATTCTAAAATTCTACATTTGAATAAATGTATTATTGAAGGAAAATAGTATTATAGTGGTAAACATACTTTGTGAATCATCCTGTATGTACAATGTACATGCCTACTATACATAAATGTGTGTGTGGACGCATTCAGTTTCTTCGATAATTATTCGTAACGACACCGAGTTAAGTCCGTCCGAGTGATAATTCTGCACACACGAGTATACTACTCAGACGACTTGCGGAGCTCCTTTTCACCGCCGAACGCTCGCGCTTACGAGAAAGGGCCTAATCCGATCGGTGCCATGTTTTGTCCCGTGGTTAATCCTCAACCCAAAAAGGTAACGCGGTTTTTGGCTGGTGCACCCCCCCCCCCCTCTCCGCCCCACGACCTGCGAAGACGACCGTATATTATTATTATATGTGTACAGTGTACACGTATGGCGCGAATACGCCGTGTTTGAGAGATTAGAAAATAGGGGTTGGGTATATAGCCGGTATCCATTGTAAGCGTGTGTGCTCGCTCGAACAAACTGGCTTCGTTCATTTATCAATGCCATCATCCATTCACGAGCACACTCTCTTCCGCACACCCGACCAGCCGTCCGTGAGAGCGGGAGGGGGTGCTTTCCGGGTTTCGGTAAATTCGCCAGAGCTACCCCATCAGTCACACGCCAAACAGATTTGGTTCTCGTAGTTTAGGAGTCGTGTGTGAGCGCGCACGTGTCCTCCTTGGCGTCGACCGTCGCACGCCCTGCGATGACGGTCTCGAACCTATCGGGTGAAAAGAGAAATATTGCCAAAAGAATAACCAGATGAAAAAAAAACGTTTAACTGTACCACGAAAACGATTCATAACTAGTTAGGGCTTTAATCGCGGTCACAATCTATATCGTCCCGTTTACGAAACGTGAGGGATTACGAATGACGATAAGCAATTTCAGCCATAACTGAAGACAGGAATCGCAGGAATCAGATCCACTAAAAATATCGCATTGTTATTTTTACATGGATTAACGGTTAATATCAGGCTAATAATTTATATTAGTAAGCGAGTCCCTAAGTACCTATATTAGTACTTGGGACTTTGGGAGTTCGATGGATTTCAAAATTTATAATAGGTAGGTGTACTATACATAATAATATGAATAAATTATGATACTATCAAGGCGTCACGAAAACACCCACATCGCATAATTTTAATACTGTGTAAACTAGTTTGAAGGCTCCATTTATTGACTGTCTACGTTTTTTTATAAAAAGATGTTTAATTTTTTTTATATTTATAGTATTATAAACAATTATAGTTATGACCGATAATTTGCTTCTGTTCAGAAAATAATAAATTATACATTGTACATCACATTCTATGCGCACAATTAAAATAATGCTGTCCATGGAACTCTGTACTTAGGTATTCATTTAATAATTTCTTCAATGCCTACCCATATAATGTGCATGTCCCTTACATAGAATTATGTCAATTATGTAAAATAAAATATAACTTGTCCAGACAATATTTGAGCAGAGTGATAATAATAAAACTAAAAATACAATTTTACCGGTTTGTCGAACACATTTTTAGACAAAAATTAATTAAACCATAATAAAGTTTCAACAAAAGTATACAATCTACATTAAGTGTTAAGTTCCAAAACCATATTATTTTATTGTTAATTACGGAATGAGTTAAACAGTCAATACTATGAGTACAAATTAATTCCTGATAAAAATCACATATATATCATACATTATTGTAATTTGAAATATGAATTAATCAACTTCTAAAGATTTTTAAAAAACCAATTTCTGTTGTGAATATTAATAAAAGAAAATTAATATAATTTTTATAAAATATATATTATGTATTACCATATCAAAGGAAATTAATGTAATTGTTGTTCTTCGTTATGCCTGTAGCGTGCCTACTGTAGCACCACCCTGTACTTTCCTATTGTATTACAGCGATGATCACTTATCGCAATTTCAAAAATGGTTCGCAACACTTGGTCATGTCGTTTTGGATACTTATTTGAAACATATATAAAAATAAATCATGTTTTAAATATTTATATCTTGTTTCAGAATCGCAGTAGCAAAAAAAATCCCACAGCGGATCACAAAATAATGTTCTTATCTTTAATATTTTATTATAGGCTGATTTATTCTCATACTTTACCAGTGCACAAAGTTTTTATAGTGGTGGTAGTGGTGGAAGTTAAATTTGCGCACTCTATATTATACAAAGATAATAAACAGAACTTGCCATCCTTTTAATTTATATTTCCTCTTGTAGATTTAATTTTAATCTAGACATAACTATGAACCGTTTCGTGAAAAACGCAAAAAATATACTTCCAACAAAAAAAATTAATGAGAATTATTCTCATACGAATTGATATCACACAATTATTCTGTATAAATAAGTCAAATAATGAAATAAACATCATAAAGAGTAATTAAAACTTTTAAGGAGCCAATATTATGTTTAACCCAAAAATACAATAAAATATTATCTATAATACTAAGGGCAGTCCTTAAATAAAATACTAAATAAATAGTTTAATTTAAATCGATAAAAATCAATTTATCTGTATTCGATATTATAAATGCCTATAATATGGAGCAATGGTTCATAGGTACCTACCATTCATGTTTTATGCACAAATATATATATATATATATATATATATATACATTTATGCATTTTATTCTGATTTGTTGAGAACGACATAGAAACATCAGATATTTAATACGCGTCCACAGTATAAAAACGCATGGTATAATTGTTTGATGGAGAATTTATTTGAACATGCAAGCGGGCTAGTTGTAAACGAGGGGTAGACTAACCATAAGTTCGAATTCCGCTGCATTTTCCGTGAATATCGTCTAGAGACGAGTGAGAGACAGAAATACCGAGTGAAAAAAATGTAGGAGTTTGAACGTTGATTCCATTATCTTTATAATTTCGATTTTCTCACACAAACTGCTCTGTTTATAGCAGCGATTGCTATTTTCGTCATCCATTCTATCGCATACGTTATGGCCTTCAAGGCTTTGTGCTCGGAATTTAATTTAAAACAAAAACTATAATAATATTATTATATGTGACTATATAAAGTTTTATTAACTCACTTAGACGTCTTGTCGCATACGTGTTTATTTAGTATTGTGGGTCGCGCATGATGAAAATGATTTTATCTCGTTTATCGTCCATATTAAAGAAGCGAAAATATTAATTTTTTTTAATACAACATGCAAAGTACGTATGTATTTTATATGTAACATAAATCATTTTTACAGTCAATATCGTAACATATGTATTGCTTATAAATTGTGAATTAATATATTTAATATTTTATATTGTGCATCATATTATAATTATTAGTTTATAATTGCAGAATTCTCATAAACTTTGAAAATATTAAAGAATGTAGATAACAGTTATAAAATAATTATTGCAACGTTTCGAGCAAATCGCAATTAAAACAATTACGTACAACCCTACTACTCCCGAATCAATTTCCCATTTTTCTATTTTGTGGTGACAACATCACTTCATACCAGCCCACAGCCGTGTCAGCTGTACAATTGACAAAATGGAATTTAGTATTGTTGTAATAATTATTATGTATCTACAGTGGACAGTAGTCCCCCTTCTCATCAAATAGCACACTTGGGACTAGCGCGCATCCTGTCTTTCTGGACGAACTTAAGTTTGCTCTTTTCCACACACACTGGACTTTAGCCCTCCGATTGTTTCTGAGGTTAAAACTTTAATATTACCTACTCAGATACAACTCAGACGAAACCCTCAGGCCAAAGTATATAATGGTATAATAAATACCTAACCTAACCACCCCCAAAAATGACCCTCTGGTGTGTTGATGAACGTTCGCGGTTAGGGGATTGACGACATATTATTGTTATAACATCACATTGTGACGGTTTATAACACTCGCTTTTTTTTTAACCGTATCCTGCTGTGGACTTTACACCCATAGGCTGTAGCAGGGGTAGGACACTGCGTGTATTGGCAAAATCGGGTGACTGTGGCCTTGAGCACGGCCTAGGGGGGCGTGGCATATGTTATCATTTAAATATAAATCATATCAATATTATCTCGGTCCACAGAATAATTATACAATACGCCCATTGGCCATTGCGTTGTATCGGTTTTTAAAATTTCATAACAAAGCGGGATACACGTTGCCGACGTTCTGTCGGATCACGGACACGGTACAATTTTTTGAATCAAATACTTCATAGGGATCGTAAACCCACACAGCTGACCGCGAGTGTCTATTCAATATTGTTCTGCGGCCGTACTTACCGTTGAGAATGTGTATGACCGTGTTGGCAGGAAACGCGTTGCTCGGTGCACACGTGTAGTTGCCGGAATGGGCGCGGGAAGCGCGTTCAATATATAATGCGCTGTGCTTGTTCGGTAAGTCGGAAGTGACGTTCACACCCCGATCGATGTCGTAGTTGATCATTCGGCTGTCGTGGTACCAGAATATGTATACCGGGTCCACGGGGCTCTGCTGGACGACACATTCCAAATGCAGCGGGCTGTTCAGCATCAGATACTTCTCGGAAGCACCGGCTATCTCGGCTTGTGCCTCTGAAAGACAAAACATCACCGGATTATTGTAGTGGCGGTCGAACGGAACTGCGTAAACATGCGTTGGGGGGGGGGGGGTGACTATATTATCATTGCAGCTACTAGCGAAACAGTGATGTAGTCAGTAAATGTATGGGTGGTAGGTACCTAAATGTTTCGAAAAATAATTATTGTTTACTGACAACATTTTAAGTAGGTAGGTCACAACATTTTGTTTAAAATCCTTTGGCTTTTGCAATGATAAACTATAGCCCTGTACTTATAATTAAAATAATTAGTTCAAATAATAATATAGGTAGAAAAATTATAAAAATTTTATTTTTAGATTCTCGGGGAAACGTTAACATATTATTCATCCATAACGAAGTTTTTTAAAAATTATTTTTCATGGATTTTTAGATAGTTTCTCATAGGTGTCAAGTAATTTTTTGATTGGAGATTACTTCAAGTAGGCATCTCATCGATTGTAAATCTAGTCAAGGCATGAAGAGATTATATTTCAATTCCTTCAATAGTTTCCATATACAATGAAAAACTCTTACAGCTTGGGTTGTTAAACTGCAGGAGTATAAATTAAGCAATCGTTGTCTTAACTGAAATCCATTTAAAATTGCCTTTTTGTCTTAAAAGCGATATAATTTATCATTGCCTTCAAATGTTTTTTACACAAATGTAATTAATAATATTTATTATCCTATATCAGCAATTAAATTAAAAATTTTAAAAATTTTACAACATTATAGAACTTCAGAACAAATATACCGCATGACAACGTCATACAACTCTCACTACCAATTTAATAGTCGCCACTCGTATACGTACCGTAAATCAATAAATAGGTTTATTGTTGATGGTTTCCTGCAAGGCTATTTCGCCACGTTTTTTTAACTATTGCAAATAACCTTAATATTTTTAAAAACGATTCAATTGTTCGATGCTAGTTTTTCGATGTCTGCATATAGGGTTAGCCATCTGCCCTCCTCCTCCACAATACAGTACAACAATCTGGGTCCACGGCTAACGCATGGTTGCCTACACACACACACACACACACACACACACACACACACACACACACACACACACACACACACACACACACACTAAACAAACCCGTGGACCGTAGTGCGTGTATTATTATAGTGTACGTGGTGGTGGTGCTGCGAGTTTAAAGTATCGACCGACTCTGAGAGACGCGGGTAGGTACTTCCGAAATATTGTAGATAATTCAATCACGGCATTAGGTATATATATATAATATTATAGAGAACGCAACAAATTTTCCAGAGATATTACTTTCCAACTAACTATCGGAATCCCAAATAAACTGCGTGTAAACAAAATCGTTTCCTCCGTAGTCATATTAAACGTCATGTTTCTCGTAGTACACAATATAATAATAATAATACCGTGGTGTTGTCTACCATAGTAATAATATACTATAATAATATAATATATATATATATATATATAATATACCAATATACCATAATAATAGAGAATATAGTGCCCGAAAATCGAAACACGCATTCCTCCGATATTACTGCAGTGGTGTAAGTCGGTTTTAACGACGTATTAACGTAATATTTCACGTGATATTACACGAATAATATTATGTATACTATTCGAAACGCGCGTTCGTGTATTGATTCATCGGAGCAGTGGTCGTAAAGAAAAATTATTGCATGTTATTATTGTTCACATGTTATTCGATAACATTTTAGTGGACATTGTTTATTTACAGACCGCTTATCATTAATTTCGATACAGCTTCTCTTCATATTATTTAAAACGCTGCGGGAGTTGGTTTATGATGTTTATTACAGTATTGTAAAAAAAAAAAACTAATAATTGTGTCTCGAACGAATTAAAATATAATTTCGAAATTAATGCCCCGTGAATTGTGTCACCCGTCATTATTAGATTATCATTTAACGGTATTATGTAATTTTATTAAAATTTCCTGTATTACGTTGTATAATATTATTATTTATTATCCTAAATTATGTATAGGTACCAGGTACCTGGTACCTATTTATGTATCAAATTAAGTCTTATCGTTTCTACTAATCGTCTTAATCGACTACAAAAATTGATAATCACTGATTTCCATATACATGACTTTTATTTTGTTGTTAATATTTTATGTAAAATGTATTCGGTTGAGAAAATGCAAAGCGAAAAGGAAAAATTAATTTTAATAGTTACTATAAGCATAGTTTTTGAAAATTCCTCTAAAATGGATTACAACGATAAAATATACTAAACGAGGATACATTGCAAAAGTATTTTATAATGAAGATATCGGGTGGACATCATACGACGCATTCAGCTTAATAATTGTCTGTGTTTTAATTTTTAACTATTGTTTGGCTTTTATTTTTCTCCGCTCTTATGAGGTTTGTGTAGTATACTAATTGTATGATTTTGTGGAAAGATAGATATAATATTAAGATATACAACTTGGAATGTAATGATTTAAAATATCCGACCGTCATACCGTAATCTATGTGTTAAAATTAAGAATCATATTAAACTTTTTTGGTTATCTTGAGTGTGACTCAACTATTCTAGTTCATCCGTCAACTTTGAATTGCTAATAATATTTTGATAAACAATATATTTTTGAAAAATAAAGGTACGGCCAATTCAATAGTAAATTCTTGGGAGTCAATTCAAAGATACTTATTAGTTATTATGGGTAAAATATTGACTACCTGTATTTGGGAGCCAATGCGCTGCTATTTCCCACCTATTATTGTAATTTACAAAACACCTTATTCTCTACTTTGCAGACCGTAACATACCTATATTCAAGTATTATACATAATTTGCACAACTTGTGTGTGTTTCTAATTGATATGGTGTACATTATATTATTCTGATACTGTTGCCACCATTAATATATGGACAACTCAGAGACATATTCAGGATATAAATAAGCTTAAGACAATAATAAATATTAAAAAAATTATAAATAGTATATTGTTTAAGTAGACGCGATAATAGAATCTGTCGCATAATAAGTATATAGTATAATAATCACACATTCACACTATTCTAAGTACGAAATCCAATTTCGCTATGTATCTATAATGAGTTGAAATAGACAGAAGATAGATTATATTTTTCAATTCTTCATAAGTGATAACGTTGATTAACGTTGGTTGTGGTTAACAACTTTGATAACAAATCAATAAATCCTTAAAATGACCAGAGTCAAGAGTTCTGCAGCATTTAAATTAAATTTACTTCAAACATTAATATGTATATTTTATATTATCTACTATATTATAAATATATTTTGCCTTTGTCATGTCCTAATTTAATATTATGATTTTATTATTTAACCTACTGAAAATATATTTAAGAAAACCCTTATTTATACAACTTTTTTTAATTTTTAACTTTATTTAACTTTATTAGTTATTGAATAATAACTGGATATCCCTTACATAAGCTACGCTTAATGAAGATAGATGCAATCTGTAGGCAGGTTTTAAATTCGTAATATATGTTTAATGTTCATCTATTATTTACTTGTTCTAATTTTTGTTGAAAATAACAAAACAAAATATTTTAACATATTCATTATTGATTTGAAACATTAAAAAATGTGTTGTAGCTACATAAAAAATTACAACCCTTGCAAGAATTCCACACAGCAACCCAGGGCAATACCTCTATCACCCTCCCTTAAATACATAACTGGCACAACCCTTAATATTCCATTGAATATTTCTACCGAAATCCAACGCAGTGCAGTAATGACAAATTATGTAAATGCCGGCAAATAGGGTTTAATTGTTCATTAGAATTACACACGAAAATTAGTGCATTATAGTCAAAACGTCTATTTATTGAAGTCGGTATATTATTAGGTAGGTACATACTATACATATTGTAATTATACCACAGAATATTATGCATAATGGTGTGTGACTGGTTATTAAAACGAATGCCTTATTAGGATAACTAGGTATTACAGGTGCTAAATTTAATATTGATACCTGATATGGCTGCTAAAGCGTTATTAAATACATGTTAACATCAATAAGCATATTATGTTTCCCCAATGTTGACATAAAATTACTTTTATTACTATAAGACAAGCATTAATTTTTTCATTTTAACTTTGTCAGAAAATTAGTTTCGACAAATAAAACATAACCATAAATCTGTGTTGTGTTTCATCTTAAAATATATTATACCTACCTATAAATTTTAATCATAGGTTGCATGCTATCTAAATTACCTATATTTTTTATACAATACGTATGACGAGTTACTAATTTATGAATATTTTTTTAAAGCACACTTATTTATTTGTTAGCCTTTAAAGAATATTATTTGAATTTATATGTTTGATTTTTAAGATGTTTTAATTTTTAACTGAGGTTCGAGAATTTGGCACATGACTTTTTAAAGAAATTAAGAGGAATTAAAAGATCAATGGCCCGCCATTTCTGGCAGACCGTTATTTCACTTTAAATACCATAAAAAATCATCTCACAATCATATATTATGACGTTATGTTCATACCATTAAGTTTGATAATAATAGGTCAATTCACTGTTGTATTAAGGTTAACACAATATTGGGTCTACTAAACGTAAATTTGCCATGTGTTATGTGCACGTTTTTAAGACAAAGAAAATACAACATAAGGGCGTGGCGTCCTTTTATGTGAAACTACATAAATAGTAGCCGGTCAAATTGACCGTGTTTGTGTAATTATGATAAATAATTACTTGCGAAATTGCATGAAATGCTGGGTTTAAAAAAGTGCCTATTACCGTGTTTCCAATGATATTATCTGTCTATTCACGTTTATTAACTTTTTATTATAAACTTAAAAACTTTTATATGACAATGTATTACATTTTTAGAAGGGTGATTACCTATTAGTTTTACTTCATTCATCGTTTTGGTAAAATACTAAAAATAAAAATCGCATGTCTTAGCTGCATAATATATGAGTGACGTATAAGAATGGATAA